CAAAAAGGTGGATTCTGTAGTCAGATTACAATGTGACCGCACAGCGGACAAGGCACCTGCAACTGACCTGTTTACACTCCCTTCTGAGTGGGGGGAGGGCCGGAACCTGTAACGATTCTAGTACATACAAGCGTGTGATCAGAAGCGAGTTAAGTACTTCAACTTGATCTGCTGTCCCAACAACAGCCTCGTCAATGGTAATCGATCAACATGTGGTCAGTCTGTATCCGCGACCGTGAGCAGCAGAGATCTGTGGCGCTCGACCTCCTCAATCCCGTAGCCTAAAGGTAATCACCTTGTCTCGTAATCTGACAACGCTGGTCGGAGCCTGGGTCGGGACCGGGCGACTCTCGAAGCATCCTTAATCCACGTGCGACCGATGGTGCTTGTATAGCAGCATGGTGTCCGTACTGAGTAATGACATACTGCTGATGCTTTTCTTTTGCTTTCTTAAGCCGTCATGCGAATATCATAGTAACCCAGACTACCGACATCTTGTTCCAAAGCTTCAAGCCTACCAACCGGTGCGCTGAGGTCTCCGATGAAAACCACCATATAGTTGCGATGATTCTTATGGAGTAGGTGGGATGGTTGACGGTAGAACTCATCTTTAGCTGAGTCCGGGCTGTAACTCGTGGTAACATGCACTGTTACGCCAAACAAAAAGTGTTTGGTTACCTCGCGGCTGCACAATCGTATGGAGGCTTTTACTTAAATTGCACAGGATTAGTCGTTAGAAACACAACTCGAACACCATCCTAGTCCGCGGCTTCTTCACCTATGTCTCCCGATACATTTGGCGTACATGTATTCTACAAAGGATCTGAGGATTACGTAAATTCCCGTGCAAGTGTGTTGTCTGCACATGGAACTTTTCAGTTACCCAGTTAGGAGAAGCGATTAACTATTCTGTAACCCGTGCCAACGCCTTAGTTCTTAAAGCCGTTATCAACTAAGCTTTGAGGCGATTAGCATATGTCACGAACGGTTGAGAGCCGATAACAAGTTTTGAGTGTCAACAAACTACCTATGGCACCGGAACAGTACGAGTATAGCAGTAAAGGGAACATGAACCGTTTCCTGAAGCATCGGGCTCGTTGCGGATGCGAACACAGTCGACAGCCAGGTATCTCAAACACCTTCTTACTGGTCGATGGTAGTCCACACAGAAGCGAGTAGTAATCTAGGTTGTTCATCCACCCTCCGGTAGATACTGCATGCTGGTTAAAAATGGCTGGTCACTCACTCCATTTGCGAAAATCTTGGCTTGTGGTATGTAATACATAACTAGATGGACAGCGTCGAACTTCCCACGCTCTGATATGCTGCGCTGATTGTTTGCGGAACAAACGAGACTCAGTCACACTTACCCTCAGTAGAAAGACATTCCTGTGGGAGCACGCGACGGCGTACAAGCAGCCTGTAAGCCGCTCCCTGTGTAGACATCCCATTCTCAGCGTCGTCTTGCAGCACTACTTCTACCCATATCAAATCACGGTATCACCGCAGCATTAGCATACGCCTAAATGTGGTGCCACTATAAGCTTTGTATTTTGTGGTCTACCCCCTACCTACCTACGGGACTCGTTCAGCATTCACTCAATTGCCCCTACTAAACAATACTCAGTGTAACTTTTACACGTTGCTTTGAGGCGCATTGCGTGGAACAAGCACTAAGACAACTCATATTTCAGCTTCATCACCACTTTATTGTCCACCTTGATACATCGCCCATCGCAACCTTAGAACGCCAGAAAGCTTTCTGCGCTGGTGCCATCTCACCAGTGCATGTGCATATGTCTACCGGTGCACATGCGATTTAGCGGTGTGACCAAAGTAACCTGTGGCCTACGCGCTTCAATGCGCCACTCGTATTGTGCCTAGTGCCCGGTGCGCGCCATGTGTTCACAGCACGCGATAGGTCGTACAGACAAGCGCCTGGGGTTTAGCTTAGTGAAACGGATTGTCGGCCATGTCAGAATGCGAGTAGCCAGTGACCCGATTCCATAATAGGCTCTGTTATAATGGTGTTGTGAATCGCACTCTAATTCCTTATCATACACTGACCCCGTTTCCCCGTAGCCTACCGTGGGTGATCTCAGATATTAACAAGTTACTACCCCCATCCGCCGTCATGTAATCCGTCACCGCCCATGTACCAAGTCGCACACGAGCAAACTCCGGGCTGTAGCGATTCCCCTAACCTACCTACCCTACACATGCGTACACGTTGCTATGTCTAATTTTCATTCGACATGTTATTGGCTCACAGCGCTTGTCTAAGGAACCACCCACACGACGGTGCGCTCATGTCACAGTAGCCTGACTCAACTTAGTTCATCGGAAGGAGTAACCTGTTAGCGCACCAGACTAAGTTGATATCTGGTTAGTTTAAGTTGCTACCTGTGTGGCCTAACATGACTCGGAAATGGTATAGAACATTGCATCCGTCTTACAGGTAAAGCTGAACTCCCTTCGCAGCTGGATTAGAAGATAAGAATTGTATGAGCTGAAAAGAAATCGTGGCTTGGCAGATTGACGATTGTCAGAGTGCCAAGTTAATTGCCTGGTTGAGAAGCTGGAAGCCGAGCCTGCCCTTACCTTAGAAACTCTTCTGTTACCAATGTAGTGGGTTTTGGATGTGGGGTTACGCAACGGCGCCATGGCTCGCTACCTGGACTGTCGGCTCATGAACAAGAAGTTACACAAAATACCGGAATCTGTGAATACGATGGAGAACATGAGGCAAAGGAAATTGTACATCTTGAAGTTGATGAGCTTGGAAACTGACGGACCGCGAACAGTGTAGATGGATGGGACGAACTGAGCTTGCACAATGAAACATTTGGTACTTAATAGACATGCGAAGTGCACAGTGGCGGACCGTCTAGGACAAAACCTGCACCTTTTCAGTGCGATGCCTGTGGATGGATTGCTGGGATATTCCGTCACGAGGGGCAGTTTTAACAAAGAAACAATGCTTGGTGGCTGCGGCTAATGCTTAATATCAACGTTATAAGGTTGCCTGATAGCCGTCTACTGATTTATGCTAACGCACCACGTCACACAATTTGGGAGCGTATTTCCCAAGAGGAGATTTACGCCTCAGGGAGACTACTGCATCTTGCACAGTATTCTCCACAACTGAAGTCATTCGAAGGTATTTGGAGTATCATGAAGCCCCATGTTAAACAAACCGTGAAGTGGATATATTTCGAAATGCTCCGACGGGATCCAGTTGGCCTGCTGAGCAAGACTGAATGGCACAGTTTGTAGAAGAAGCACGCACCTGCGTGACGATGAACCACTACCAACAAATGGTGCAGAAGGTAAGCAACAAGTATGCAAGTACGTGCATTACGCTTAATCGATACGTACCTAGTTTAACACCACTGATATATTTATTGGTAACCTACACTGATGTTGTTCTCCAAAGTGTAGCGGGATCACCCAAGTGGGGTGCACCGTGGTTTTCAGGTGATATTGCCTACGGCGTTTCCCTCTGAGATGATAAATCGTGTACACTATGCTGACAGCCTATGGAAAATGAGCAATGTGCGCACGAAAACACTGTTCACCACGACGCGTTCCGAATTTATTTTTCCATTGGTCTCGGTTTAGCAATTCATATATATTAGCAGCTGGGAATGTCCGGCATTACGGCTAAGTGTTTACTCCAAAAGTTACAGCACAATGTCCCTTTTAACATGATTTACAAGGGAGGTATACGCGAAAATTCACATACTGACTTGTTACGCGTCATTACGGCTACTAAATACCTGGATTACCGACGAATGACCATGAATAGGTCAAAAGAGAAGCTAGAATGAATGCGTGTGTGCATTTGTGCTATCTGTAATTGACATTTATGTACATCAGTCTGATCGTTACGTGTTTCGCTCCATTGCCTCCTTAAGTTTGTAAGCCTGACCTCGTTAATACGGCCACACCTGTATCTATGCGAAGCAATTCGGTCACCCAGATGACCGCAAAATAGCGTGGCACGTTGACTTGCGTGCCTCCTCTACCCAGTGAGTCAAGTACCGTTACGGCAACTCATATCAGATACGCCAGCGGTTCTGTGTTAGATAATCTCAGAGTGGGCGACCGAATGCATTCCTGCTCAGCCCTACGACTACGAATAGAGTGCTGGGACATCACATCTTGAGAGCATTTACAAATTTCGGAGAAGCGTGCATTTACCAGTGTAAGCAGGCACCACACCAAATGTGAAACGGATCAGGGACTAGAGGTAGTTTGCATTTACTGGTCTGTACGCAGTTGCAAGGGGTGATACATAAAATGACAGGTGGCCTGCATAACGCGGACAGGTTCAGCCCCCGCTGAAGGTCGATCGCCACGCGAGTCCGTAAACAAACCTGCAAAGTACACAGTCGCACAGGGTACGGTATTGAAGCGGTGACTATCCCAGATTTTCAATGACGAGCTAGTGAGCCTTATTACCTTCCACTGTATGCATTATGCAAAAAACATCAAAGTTTGGCAGCCGACCAATCTCCAACGACATCGACAACGTTCATGAATGGTCAGTCCACAATCGTCCACAGTTCAGGGTGACTAAATTTCGAATACTCCATCTAGGACACAAAATGCTTCATACCTATAATCTGGACGACCATGATCTGCAACACTGTTCCCGGAAAATTACCTCGATGTACTTACTAAATTACAAAATGTTTCATTTTAAGACATTCGGAGAAACGTTTTGTGATATATCACCTCCACCGCGTACAATCTCCTAATGACAACCTCAATCCCCATTGTATTGATCTGAGCGCTCGCATTTAAGTCGTTGTGATTCTCTCCGAACTAATTGACTTAGTTGTCAGCGTCACGTATTGAAGATACTAAATCCATTTACTGCCGACTGTCTGCAAATGCACTGTCCAACTAAGTGAAAAAATCAACTAAGCTTCATGCGACAGCGTATTTTGTAACTGCATTAACCAGAGAAACACTGTCACTTCATTGTTTACTAGGAGCATGAAAAAGACTTTGTTGAGATTCTACTGAGCATGTTGGCACCGAAACCTTATGAGAGGGCTACTTTGGAGTAAGTTCACATCTTGATTGGACCAGCATATTTTCAGGCTGCATTTCAAATTTCGTCCCTATTTGATTGGGGCCGGCAAACTTTTATCAGTACTCGTTTACGTGTTTTTTTATTTAAATATGAGACGCTTGTTGATAATATTAGGAGGGACTAAAGGTTTAGTTAAACTTTTGGAGGACACCAAACCGTATCAAACTGGTATTAGAGGGATGGGTAAAATGAGATTGAGCTTATACGACTGTATGTGATCACGGATATACCGGCATCAAACGCGGAAATGTAATACTCGTAGATGAATTGCGTTCGCACATTATGAGTCAAACTTGGTGCACTAGATCTGCCGAAACTGAGCAATTGTGCTTCCGTGTACGCGAACAAAGATTAAAGCTTCTACTTCTCAAGGTGATCTGCAAAGTAACATGTCGAGACTTATCTTAATATTTAGAATAGAGATAAATTCAAGATAGAAGTTCTACTCGACTTCCGGCGTTATTTTAATCTGTAATTTTATTCTTAGTAATAAGGGGTAGTAGAGTGAGATGAATGATCTAGGTAGAAATTCATCACCTCATCACCACACATCATCATATAGCGCCGCTCACTATCCGATGAATGGCACGTTACTGCTGTGCAGAGGGCGGGATAGCCCCCTTCATCAGTGAAGTTAGTGAATGGTTAGTGTTGCTATATAACATCTAACAACTTAAGCACGACAGTCGTTGCCGACAAGTGTAGCTCAGTGGTCTCAACCACAGACTGAAAGCAGTCGAATTGTGGGTTCAAGCCCTATAGTGGTCAGCTAGAACGCACATTGCTGACGATTCCTGAAAGGATAAAACGGCTATACAACGCTTTTCTATGCATGTGATGGCTCTCTGAGTGAGTCTGGATATGATGAACCTCGACCTATCCTTTTTTGCTTTTCAATCTCCCGTATTCTCATGTCTGAAATACTCAGGTCATTCGAATCGCTCATAAGTGGCGCTGCTTTTTTATACCAATTGTGTACCATTTTACGACGCTGAGCTGCTTCAAACACCCAATAGCTTTGACTCCAATATCAATAATTTACTAGCATTTTGAACCGAAAACAAGAGCAGTATATTACACTGACCCTGAATTTTAAGCTCACTAGTTGCAGGTTTTTGGAACACGTTTGGTTCTCACCATTTCATTTCCGCCTCTGTGGTTTTAATCCCGGAGTAGGTATATGACTTACAGTTTCTCAGAAAGAACTTCTTTAGTATGGATTGCGTTTTCCCGCAAGCAGTTTGTTTGAAATCATAATCTCAAGCAACTGCAAAATGCTGGGCTTCTGCACTTATTTTTCCTCAGGTGAAAGTTATCATGTGAAGTTGCGCAGGCAGCGTGATATGGCATCAATCGCAACGCACCGTATCCGTGACAAATTGATTCTGGTAGTAGTCTCTTACATGTAAATTCTTGGTCTTTACAGTTTGAAACAGCGTACACGGAAATATGTCATTTGAATATGGGATCCTGAAAACTTAAATATCTCAGTGGAATTAAACTCAGCCCACCGTCGATAATCTATTACCACTATGTGCGTCCCTAGTTTTCACTCCCCGCGGTCATGACTGCATTGATGGTTTATTTGAAGATAAAGCCTGATGGCTCAGCACATTCGGCCGTCAAATAAATGTTTTCTTCCCTCTCACAGACGCGCATGTGTCAGGTGATTTTGTTTTGGAAAATTAACTGAATACACGTTTGTTATAATGCATGTTGGTCATGAGTTGCGAGCAGTTGAGTTAAAAACTGGCTTGCGTGAATAATGTCGAGATTGACAGACTGTTGTCTTTATACTATGCTTTTCCCGCGGTAGGTGGATATCTGCAAAAAATGAACCCAGTGAGTGCAATAATTCAGCTGGTCTACAATTTATTGCGTGATCGGCTTTCGTACGTTGGGCCAGATGCGCCCGAACGCTGAACTTTTCTTTTTACAATAATAGCAGGATCATGAAAACTCCCGGTGCTCTGTCCACGTAGGGAACCTACGCGATATTTAACCAGGGGTTTGGAGTTTTGCTTTGTAACTATAGTTCTGTTCGGTACCTCTTGGATAGGACTGCATTATAGCCGGAAATTCATACGTTAATCTGATAATTAAAACAAGTCATTTTCTGGTTACTTGTAACATGAACTGATATGATGGCTTGCGAGCATCTGGATAACTGGCTTCCCCGATTTTCGTTTTTACGAAGGCAAATTACGCAGATGCCATTTGTTCAAGATATACTAGCGAAGACACACCCAGAAGCTTTGGCAAGAGCGCAGCGTTGCTTGGTCAGTCTAGCAGACCGTGAGTGTGCCAAGTGTTTCAATTATCCCAGTTGCTCATACATAGTATAGCAGCTCGTCACAAAAAGCGCTGTCATTTTTCAGTTCACATCATGAACCTAGGTGTAGCCACATCAGGTAGTTACAAACTGAAGTAGTGCCAAAAGCAGATTTTCTGTCGTTAACCTGACATAAGCATTCGCCTTGATGGCGCAGGCCTTCTGCTGATAGCAGCATCGCGGGAACCGGTTTTAACTGAAATGTGGGTGAAACAGTATAGCATGGTGCTTAGGAATTGACTATGAACAATGAACAATGATCTATCACGGAATAAAAGCAAGCGCTTGACACTTCCCGTAGGATGGTTGGGGTGAATATGATGAAATCAAAATACATCTGAGTCATCTACCGAACGTCTGCCTAGATCAATCCTTCGATAAATTACATCAGGGTAAAATTAAGAAAAACGAGTGTAAACAGTGATCGTTGATGTAAGGCGTGAGAAAAGTAAAATATGGTCGCTCACTTGGATCCATTTGATACATAAATCCTGTTGAAAAGTATGCTTGGCGTAATCCACAATAGAGGAGTTTAGGTAACAAAGTGCTGGGAGCTAAGAGCATCATCTAATCGTTTTTCAAAAACCTCCAAGGTAGGGAATGATTCAACTAAGTCTGGGCGTGTGTTCTAGGCTTGGCAAACCCGAAGGGAAAAGTAATTAGGTCGACACTCTAGACGGCTATATTGTTCCTTCAATGTTAAGCGGCTACCCCTGAGTTGTGGCTAAGTTTCAGCAAATGGCGACATAAGTGGTTGGGGTCACTCAGTATCTGATGCGCTAATATGAGATCACCGCGCAACCTTCGATAGCATCCGCTGAAAACTCCCAGCAACTTGACCCTTCGTGGAAAGAGTGATAGCGCAGGCCCTATACGTTCTTTGTTGCTCTTCGTTGAGGTTCATCTAACGCCTCTAGGTCGCGTTTCAACCAAGGTTGCCAAGCTTGCATAGCGTATTAAACATGCGGGCGCACCTAGGAATTGCGCATCCTTGGGAAGATTGATGGGTTGAATCTCCCGAATACCCTTCGCAGCTTGCCGACGTGCTGGTTACCTCTTTTCTCAGCTACCTCACCTTGTTTTGAACAGTCGAGGTAGCTGTAGGATCTCACCAAGGGCACGTTCCTGGGAGCTGTTCTGCAATCCCTTTGTCCCAAGTAAATAGGTGTAGTTATGTCTTTGGCGAATGTGTACAACTCGACATTTGTCTATATTAAATGGTAGGGCGTTTTGAACTAACCAGTTCGACACTGTGTCAAGATCGCACTGGAGCCGTTCGTGGTTGTCGGGTTCTCTGATCCTTCGCCATATCTTGATATCATCAGCGAAAAATAGGAAATCAGAACTAATTGATCTCGCCAAGTCGTTAACGAACACCAAGAATAGAAGAGGTCCAAGAACCGAGCCTTGTGGTACTCCACACGCCACATTGATTGCATCGGAAAATGATTATCGGACTCTCACCACTAACCGTCGTTCTTGTAGAAAATTGCTAATCCAACTCAGGATTAGGTCGCCAATGCCGTAGTTCCGAAGCTTCTGAGGGAGAATTCGATGGTCTAGCGATCAACCGCTTTTGAAATGTCCAGGTTGATGACATCGACCCCTACTCCAGCATCAACAGCTTCAGTCCGGCTATTAGGTGCAATTATTCGGTTAATATTACATGAATGCTTTTGACGAAAGCCATGTTACTCTGGAGCTATTACGTTGTGGCTTTTTAGATACTGCATCAGACCATCTACGATGATTGATTCCATAACTTTGGATAGTACGGGAAGTACTGATATTGGACGGTAGTTGGCAGGATCAGTGCGCCTACCTCCTTTATGGATAGGAGTGATGACCCATTGCTTCCATACCGATGGAATACGGTTCTCTTCTAGATACCGCTAATAGGAAACAGCTAGTGGTTCTGCTAGATAACTAGCTACTGTCTGCAGAGCATTTGGTCGGATGTTATCGGCTTTGGGAGAACGGTGGATATGCAAGGTTAACAAGTTCTTCAACACAGCTACCTCAGTGAAGGTGTTGTTGTCTAAACCAGATGGTGGAGTATTAGAAATGAAGAGAATGTTTGGGCTCGTTACCTGCTGGAACGTGTAGGTGTAATATAGCCGTAGAATCTCAGCTGCTTACATTGCTGTTCGCGTGCACCCATCAGCGTTGACTGGTGCAGGAATCCCCCCTTCATCTTTTGAAGGCCGTTAACGTGGCTGTACAGAAGTTTGCGGTTCTTACAGAATCGCCTCATTAACTCCTGCTGATGAGTGACCTTGTCTTCGCGGATCAGTTTCACACAGAAGTTACGATGTGTCAAGCATGCAGTCCTTGTTTCGGCATCCGAACAGTCTTTGTGATCTCGCCATGCCAAATCCCTCAGGGACATACATTTAATTGGTCGGCTCCTCAGAAATGACATCTGCTTGTTTTTGGGTTGGAAGGACTTCTGTTCCGATGCGTGCGCAACCAATGCGCTAAAAGTCCTTGTAAATGTTTCCCAGGCAACAGCTGGGGAGCATTCGATTAAGAAAGTCCTAGATGCATCCTTACCAAGCTTAGGTAACACACTGTAGTGCGTGACAGTATGCACTTTACCATCCTCCTTTTTAGGGTACTCCGCATAACACATATAGTCAAAGAGTAGAGTAAGATGATCACTATGACCCAGTGGTGCGCTTGTAACTATCTCGCTAACCATGAGTTCTTCGTTATTGAGCACAAGATCCAGTATCGACGGCTTGTTAGCAGTTTGAAATCTGGTGGGAGAGGTTACGTGGTTGTACAGAGGGTGGCTAGCAATTAGCTCTTGCAAGCAGGCTTTAAACTGCGTACCGTCGGTTGCCGACGTTTCTATGTCGTGCACTTTAAAGTCTCTAGCGATAAGAATATGAATGTAGGATTTGTTCAAAGCAAACTGAAAAATGTGGTTCAGTTTGGAGTCCATTTCCGACGTTGAGTTTGGTGGGCAATAAATCACGGCTAGTAGACATGTGTCCTTGTTTCGCAACCATAGGCGGCAACAAAGCGAAGCAGGAGCTCGCATTTCCGGGTGATCGATAAGTTCACATGGAAGCTTTGTATTATAGTAAAGAATCACACTGCCTCCCTTCCGGTTCTCTCGGCTTCAAGCAACGACATACCGGGTAAAGTGATCTCAGAATCGGTTATCGCAGGGTATAAGCATGTCTCTTTAATCATGACGAGGTCCCCCGGATGTGAAGCATGGAGTTCTCTAAGTTCGGCCAAGTTACTTAGAAGACCTTGTGCGTTTGTTTACATGCAAGATAGGGCTTTTGTTGTTAGGAGTGCTTTGACGGATGTCAACTTTGTGTTAGTTTTTAAGCCGGCCGTTAGGTGGCCGGCCATTAATCGTTTTTTGGTTTATGTATTGCAGTCGTATTGCATGACATTATTGAGCGTTCCTGAACAGACGTTTCACTCGTGCTATGCTCGGTCCTGTTGTGTGCCGTAGGCGCTGTTGTGTGGGCCTCTCTACAGGACTGTGCAAATAAAGAATTTGTAGCGTTTGCAAGTTCCATCGAGTTGCTACCGACTTTTGGCCGTTCGCCTGCTGCCTTTAGCCGGGTCTCTGTTGGCAACCTAGCTCGAAACTTTAACGAGCTATTCAACAGAACTTGATTCATTTCCTCGGAGTGTAGTAATACTTTCATTAGCCTTGGAACGCAGCCCTTGTAGCTAAGTGATGACGGAACTCTTGTCAGGGATTTGGCAGTAACATTGTCAAAAGAGAGTGCTTTGCGGATGTAGCACCACTGCCCTCGTTCATGTGTTTGCGCATCGTGAGCAAGAGAATGTAGGAGCTCGGAAACACCATGAAGAAATATTGTTTTCTTTATTATCCCTATTAGGAATGTCGCGTCGCTCAACTGCTTCTTTTGGATGATCTTTCCAAGGTAGATCAAGTAATATGCGTACTCCGCTCGGTGAGTTGCGAAGACGAACTGCTGAGAGCAGGACAGCCTCTGTCTCATCTGCTGAGTTTAGTGTTACTCGAAGAATTCGAGGTTCACCAGAGTGCATTGAGGTCGGGTGACGCACTACGCGTTGCAGCATTGCAGGCTCAACCCGAATACTAATCGCCTCGCAGATGGAACTCCACTGGTTGAGATCGTTTTGCAACTTGCCTTTTATTGTGCCAGATTTGAATTCGGGGACATTGATGCACACGAGACTTAACGTAGCGTGGTTTTGTCTAGCGAGTGTCGGCTTTATACTTTTTGCCAGCAATTTGGGTTGTTTAGAAGGCACCACTGTAGTTGACGGTGAAAGCAGCTTTGCGCCACGCGCGCTCGGTACTGAAGATGAACCTCTGTGTGTCGCTCCCGATGTGTTTGTCTAGGCAATCGATGCGTACGTTACCTGCTTGTTATCTGCATTGGATTGCCTTCGGCTCTGAGTTGTTGGTGTCATAGCTGAATCTACAAGGGAAGCGTCTATGGTTGGAGAAGTGGAAGCAGTCATGTTTGAGGCTCGTCCACCTATGGGAGTGAGGTGATTCAGTGGATTTAGAATCACAGAAGCTGCAGTGCGGTTGGAGCGACTAGTTCTCCTCTTCAACGTGTGCTGGATACTACTTTTGCCTCAGATTACTGTGTTAGCAGCGTTTTATCTGTATGAATTGTGCACCATTATTCTTCTTTTGGCGTATTTTCCAAGCGGTGCAAATTTGGGAGCTATTCTTTGGCTAATTCCGGAGATCTCACTGATTTGCCGTACTGCCATCTCTGTCCGCCATCTTGGATCTGCTCTAGCTTGTGATGCCGTCTCAAGCTACTTGTGGTTCGTGTTCGAAAGTTGTGGGAAATAAGGCTCATGCACTTCGATGCTTCAGCTGTGATGTTTTATTCCATATTTCGTGCATTGGCTTATCCGTTGACGTGTTTCAAGAATCGCTCGACATCCGACATCGGTTTTTTCAAGTTATATGTGATAAATGTCG